ACAACAATCAAGCATGGTTCTTGCTCAAGGAGCAGAATGTTATGGACATATAAATAATCTATTTAAATGGAGTTTAATCAGATGCTCTAATAAGGTAAACTTACGTCAAGTTGACATTCAACCATGTCCATAGGTAGCATATAATAAAGAACCAATGGTTTTGAAAGAAGTTCAAAGAGGGAACCAATTGCATGGAACTGTGTGTGGCCTCCTCCCTGGGGGACGGACAACCGAAAAGTGGATGAAGGGAGAAGTCGGACAGGGCAAGATATGACAAAATACCCATTTGTAAACTATCAAGGGCTCATGCGGGAGGGGGGAACGGGGAGGGAGGGGGAAAATGAGGACCTAATGTCGGGGGTTTAAATGGAGAGAAAATGTTTTGAGAAACGATGTACAAATGTGCTTTACACAATTGATCTGTGTATGGATTGGGATAACAGTTGTATGAGCCCCTAATAAAATGTTAAAAAAAAAAAAAAAAAGAAAGAAGTTCAAGTTACACCGGGCTATTCCACATTGGCAAACCAACAAACAAACAAGCAAAAAGCCAAGGAATACCCATTGAAATGTTTCAATAAACTGATGTAGCATTGGAAGGACTCAGTAGTCTAAGAGGCAAGAAATGTGGAAGACACCTACCTCACTGGTGAACAGATTGGAAGAGACCAATATTGTGTCCATCCCAAAGGATGGTTACCCATGAGAACCTGGCTACTGTCCAGCCATACCAGTGACATCAAATGCAAAGGAAACTATGTGAAGAGAACTCAAAACCGGCCATTGCAGGACATCAACAGGGAGCTGCCAGAGATTTGTGCCAGATTCAGAAGAGGACATAGAAAGATGAATGTCATTGCTGATGTCAGGCGGATCTTGGCTGAAAGCAGACGATACCAGAAAGATGTTTACCTATGTGTTATCGACTATGCGAAGGCATTGATCATAGCCAATTATGGATAGCATAATGGGAGAAGTGAGAATTATATAATACTTTGTTGTGCTCATGAAGAATCTGTATACATACCAAGAGGCAGTTGTTTGAACAGAGCAATAGGATACTGCATGGTTTAAAATCAGGTAAGATGTGTGTCAGGGCTTCACCCTTTCATTATACTTATTCAATCTGTATGTTGAGCAAATAGCTGGAGAAGCTGGGCTATGTGAATAAGAACATGGCATCAGGATTAGAGGAAGGCTGACTAAAGACCTGTGATATGCAGATGACACAACCTTGCTTGATTAAAGTGAAGAAGACTTGAGGCACTTGCTGATAAAGATTGGGGGTGCGGGAAGAAAACTAAAGTCCTCACTACTGGACCAATAAGCAACATCGTGATAAATGGTGAAAAGATTGAAATTTTCAAGGATTGAATCTTTCTTGGATCCACAAGCAATGTTCATTGAAACAGCAGTCAAAAAACCAAAGAATGTTTTGTATTGGGCAAATCTGCTGCACAAGACTACTTTAAAATGTTGAAGAGCAAAAATGTCGCTTTGAGGATTAAGGTGCACCTGACCCAAGACATGGCATTTTCAGTGCTGAGCCATAAATAAGAAAGATCAATAAAGAATGAATGCATCTGAATTACATTAGGTATACAATGGACTGCTAGAGTGAATGCATTTATCCCAGAGGAAGTACAACCATATGCTTTTTGGAAGGGAGGATAGTGAGACTTCATCTCATGTACTTGGACATGTTATCAAGAGGGCCTAGTCCATGGGAAAAGGGCATACGGCTTGGTAACACAGAGAATCAGTCCAAAGGAGGAAGCCCTCAACAAGGTAGATTGACAGAATGGCTGCAGCAATGGTCTCAAACATTGTTTTTTCTGAGGATTGTGTAGATCTGGTTCTGTAGTGGTTAATGTGTGGGCTGCTAATGGCAAGGTCAACAGTTCAAAACCACAAGCAACTTAGATGAAAGACAAGACTTTCTACTCCCATAAAAAGTTACAGTCTCAAAAACTCATAAGGAAAGCTCTAACCTGTCCTGTAGGTTATGGTAGTGAGATTGCTTTTGGAGAGCTGACACAGAACCAGGCAGTGTTGTGATCTATTGGCCATCGGGCCCTCATGAGTCAGCCTGATTCAAAGGCATCTACCAACAAGATATTACGTCATCTTCTGCCATCTGCCATGGACTCAAGAGAAAAATAATTATATCTATAGAGTGCTATTGTACATGCATCAGAAATGCCATAATTTTCTCTGGATCTTCAGAACCCTTGAGATACTTATTTTCAGTCACTCTAGTGTAATTCACCCAGTTATTTTATTAGAATGGAAGCTTGTCCCATTACTGTCGAACTTGACTGCCATCTACTGTTCATATGGTAAAGGAATATTTGGCACCACCTCTCACCTTTATTCTTTCCTATTGAATTTCCATTTCCCACACAAAGCTTTCTGGTTGTGAATTTATTTTTAATCCACCAAACAATGAAAAAAATCACTGCCATCGGGTCAATTCTGACTCACAAAGAGCTTGTAAAGCAGAGCAGAACTGTCCCTGTGGATTTCTGAGGCTGTGAATCTTTACAGGAGCAGAAAGTTTTGCCTTTCTCCCGTTAGCTGCTGGTAGATTTGAACAGCTGACCTTGTGGTTGGCAGATCAACTTTTAACTCACAGTATATATAATTTTGTACTAGTTTCTTATGTGTCATGATAACAGTCTAGCATGATATTGACAATTTTCTCTTATGGGCAAGATTTTGTTTTTTACTCTAGGATACTAAACTTTTTTTACATAATACTATTTTTTTCACATCTAGTTGGGCTGCTAACCTCAAGGTCAGCAGTTTGAACCCACTAGCTACTCACTTGGGAAAAAAGATGAGACTTTCTACTACCACAAAGATTTATAGCCTGGGAAGGCCACAGGGGCAGTTCTACCCTGTCCTATCGGGTCGCTATGAGTCAAATTGACTCAATGGCTGTGTTTTCGTGAAAAGAAAAAGGTCGTGGACTTCCTGAAAATATTTTCCATACCATAAATGTTTTAATTGGCCATTTGTCTTGGCCACACTTTATTCAGACTGTGTTATTCATCCCTCCGCTTCCTCTTTTCAAATGTTACCTTTTCTGTAGAGCTGCCTGTGACTCTTTAATTCAGTGGTTCTCAACCTTCCTAACGCCCCAACCCTTTCATACAGTTCCTCATGTTGTGGTGACCCCCGACCATAAAATTATTTTCATTGCTACTTGAGAACTGTAATTTTGCTAGTGTTATGAATTGTTATATAAATATTATATGAGGGATGTATTTTCATTATTTCAAATTGAACATAATAAAAGCATAGTGATTAATCACAAAACAATAGGTAATTATATATTGTGAATATTTATTTCTAATAACAAATAAATGAAATTTTGTCTTGAAGCATGGTGTAGCATGGGTAACGGTCTTCATATGTGGGCAGACCTGCCTGGAGACGGATAGAGGAGCAGTGTCTCCGTTCCTAACACCATCAGAAATATGTGTTTTCCGTTGGTCTTAAGCGACCCCTGTGAAAGGGTCGTTAGACCCCCAAAGGGGTCGCGACCCACAGGTTGAGAGCCGCTGCTTCAATTGGTGAGTCAATTCTCTCTTACACTATTAGTACCTGGTATAATGAGCCAAACAAAAGAAGGTAAATTTGCCTCTTTTTTTTTAAGCTTTATGGATTATTTTTCTCATCTTCCTTCTCTTTATTTGTGTTTTGTACATACACAAGCTGAAATGAACTCTCACTTGGAACCATCTTGTCAAGTGTCATTTTAAAAGATGAGCGCCTTTTTTGTAAGGGCAAGGTCAAAAAAGCCAAGTGTTAAAGTTGCTGGAAAATTTCTTTGTCTGAATCCTGTGAGACTTTAGCCAACCGACGGTGCTCAGTTCCCCGATGGTGAGAATGTCAAGGATTAAAGAAGTGACAGCAGACCGGGACCCAAACTCTTGCTTAGTTTCCCTTTCTACTCCGTTTAGTCAGTTTTGAAGGGCAGGGTATCAAGCAAGGAGAGATTATTTGAATAACTGAGTGGTATAATTGGATGTCTGAAAGTCGTTCAGATGGATTTCGGAGGCCGTTTGTGCAGTGACAAGAACACATCAGCCCAGGGTTTCAGAAGTTTAGAGGGGAAGCCCAGGGGCTGCTACAAATGAACGGTGTGGTCTGCAGCGAGTCACTGGCGTTTACTGAAAGGGTTGATCACTTCCTCTTCAGTACAGCTAATATATCGTCTATCAAGGTCTCTAGAATAGGCACCTGAATGCTTTTTTCTTGCTTAAGGTCACACAGCTGCGCTGCGAGGTGGAACTCGCTGGGTGCATCGGACCTTGTCGCTCCATCCCAGGCTTGCCTGCACTTCAAGGGGAATGGATGAGATCTCCGTGGTCTAGCCCCGCGCTCTTACCAGCCCTTGGGAAGAAGGCAAAGAGGCAAGGACAGGGACTTCTTACTGTCTCATCTTTTCGGTCCTTTTCTGATAAGGAGACGGGGAAGGGCCTAAAGACAGCTTTTCTTCTTTCAGTCTCCTCTCCCGGTAGGAACACAAATAGTCGGCTCTGCCTGTTTCCGGAAATACCGTCAACGGAGCTCGCCAGGGATCGACTTCCGGTGCTGCTGGCCTGTCTCGGCAGTTCCGGACTCGCTGCTTCCGCACAGCACAGCTTCGGGCCGGTGCTGCGGTCAAGTGCGTCCGCCAGAAGTCTCTGGCGGCTTAGGCGTGGACGCTGGCCCTTTTAAGTGGCGCCCCTCTTCTGCACTGACCCGCCCACCCGAAGCCAGGTCCCGCGGGTGG